CCAAAATAAGGGGGTATATAGGGGTTATATAGGGGTATAATATAGGGATTATATTGGGATAATGGAAAATAAAATGGAAGCTACTATTTAGGGTTTAGGGTTTTTTGGGAATTTGGGGATACTATGGTACCCAATATAGGGTTTAGGGCCCTATAATGGAGAATCAAATGGAAAAGAACATGGAAAATGAAATGGAAACCATCGTTATATAGGGATTATAGAAATGGATCTATGGCTAGTTGAAACTCCGTTCACGTTGGCCATGCAGCAAGTAGACCCAAGTCTGACACGTGGATGTGTGAAGTAACCCTATCTGAAAGCAATCGACATGTATGCATTCTTGCTCTCTCCGAGCCAGACCCAAACCCAAAACACAAAACCCTAAACGGCTCACGGACTAGCTTGAACTGGTTGTAGCAATGCTTCGGATGCGAGGGGTAATTGTGTGGCCGCAGATTTGGCGGGAAGAGCTACATTGCAGTAAGAACTTTCCACAGAAAGAGAACAAATCGGGAACAAACCCAATTTTGCCGTCTAATCTAGGTTGGTGGATGCTGCGGTTGCTTCTACTATCTACCACTACCACCACCGCCGCCGATACCACTGCTACTACTATGCCTCTCGCTTGCATCTGCACTAGTGCAGCCTGTTCCTGTTCCTGCCGCTGCCGCTGCCGTTGCTCTGCTGCTACTGCTGCTGCTTCCGCTGCCGTCCCCACCACCGATGCCGCCTCCGCCACGACCACCCCAACTATTTGCTCTGTCAGGTTCCATTGCTACATACAAGTGCGATCCTTCACGACTTCTACAAGTGAACATCTCAAGTCTGGCACTAAACAATTACTTGCGCCCCAGCTACCAACACCTCCAACCTCCAAAATTGGACTTTCCAGTTGAGGTAAATAAGCACAGCCCCCCCCCTCCCAAACCTTCCTGCGGCCCCGTGCTGCCTTAATTACAAGACCCAAAAAGCAAGATGCCTGAGCATAGGCGCAAAAGGACTGACAATTTCAAAAAATGCCATTGCATCCAGAGGCTGTGGTGATAAAGAACGCTAAGATTATGATAACAATGATCGTGGAGAAGACGACGATCCTCAGGTGTGCGGCCAACGTTGCTTTACAGCCTTCCATGGAGATTTCTCACATAGTGCCTTTATAGGGCTCCGAGGATATCCCGAAGGGTCCAAGCACCCAACTATTCTGGGCTTCAGGTCCAAATACCATGCAGGTCCTTGGATCCCTAGGGCAAGGATCACAAAGGGACTATGGGGCGGCTCAGGGTTCCAAGTGACTCCGGATTCCAACGGAAGGATTTTCAGAAGCTCCTTCCAAAGCCTATCCCGAAGGCTCCCTGTAGTTATATGGTATATACCTAAGGCCCAAAGGGGTTCCCATATCACATAACTACCTTAGGGACCAGGTATATACCATATAGCTACATGGAGCCTTTGGGTATGGTCAGGATCCCGTCGCCTTCATGGGTAGCTACCTGCGGAGAAGCAAATGAGGGCTAAACAAAGGTATACTACTTATAGCTCCAATCTACATGTAATGAACGCCTAAACCCCAAACCTCGTTAACAACAAAAACTCAGGTGAAATCTGCAGACTTTCATGGTTCCGGGAGGAGGGACCAAAATCTTGCTACAAGCTTTCCTGAGCACTCCAAGAACATGCAGAGGTATACTCCTCCCAGCAAAGCCCCAAATCCTGGAAGATCCTGGAAGGGGAAGAAGGACACTGTCAAAGTTAAGGCCACTTTGAAAGTTTTATTGGTACCAAGTCAGATGCTCCTCGTAATGAACCACAGAGATTCTATGACATTGGGGTGTGGCCATCAGGCTTCAAAAGGGACCAGTGATCTCTTTGGATGTTTCTAGACTTGTGTAAAAAAAGAACTACGAAGAGAGGAAATTATTCGAAAGAACCTGCTGAAATTATTGTGGGAAGCAGGCCTGTACTGTTTGTATGAGGCTTTGATACAGGAGTTCGCCCTAAACCCTAAACCCCTAGACCCTAAACCCTAAATGCTAAGCCCCAAACCCTGCCTCCCAGCATCCCTTTATTTCACCCAAAGAGTCCATGTACCTAATAAATGGGTGCTTGGTTTAGGGTTTAGGGTTTAGGGGAATGATAGTTAAGTTTTTGAAGTATATGGTCATTGGGTATCTGGATCCTTAGGGTCAAGTAACATGCAAGGCACTGCTCTCTCATTATGGGAAATCTGATTGGAATGGGGGACCTCCGTGAGTTCGGTCGGCTTTGTTGGCACTACACAAGATACACAGTAAGTCTCCACCCACACCGAGAGCGGAAGCCAAACACTGCAAGGGTCAAACACCCTATAAGTGTCCACAAACTAAAATGAGAGTTTTAATGATCAAATCATGCAGATTACGTTGTCTGCAACTGAAAACTCTGTTATGTGAGAACTTGAAAGCCGAAAGGACAGAAAGCTCCCGCCCCAAGAGACCCGATTCCGTGGGTGTGGAAAGTTTACTTGTGTGTTTCAGTACCCTAAGGGTCCAAGTACCCTATAACCATGTACTTGCCCAAAAACCTGTACTATAAGTACTATTACCCTACACTCAAGTACCTAATTATTGGGTACATGGATCCTTTGGGGATGTTACCTGAACCCGACAGATGAGGAATCATCTCTGAGGGATTTGGAACCCCAGTAGAAATTATAATTTCAGCTAAATATTAGGATTCTAGGTAACAGAAATTGAAAAATATTTTCAGGAACCTTGTAGTCATGGTGTTGTACATGTTGTCATTGGTTTCTTCTGGGCTCTGGACCTCATTTCGCCCACTTGTGTGGTCCGGTAGTGCTTACTTGGACAAATCAAACGTTGAGGCCAATATAGTATACTGTAATGAAGTAACAGTTACTATAATAAGAGTAATAGAATATCTAATGTATGAGCTGCCTTCCAAATGGAGATCCTGTGCGGCACTCTCCCTTTGGCCTTTGGGTGTTCGTCGCGCACCCATGGCTGCGTGAACGTTGTTATATATGACCATCTCAATTTTTCGGGTACGTTGGCCGCCGTCATGAGTACAGGACAGTTCGAGTGAGGGGTGAGGCTTCAGGCTTTACTGGTGCAAGGCTGTATTCCCTAAGGGTCCAAGTACCTAATATTAATAATCACATACTTACCCCAAACCTGTACTATGATTACTATTACCCAAAACCCAAGTGCCGAATCATTGGGTACATGGATCCTTAGGGATTGCTTTCCAAGGGACAGAGACAGCATGCAGCTGCGCGTGAAGAGGAGCATGCAAACCTCAGCCAGAGCCCTTGGATTGGCCAAAAAGCCTCTCCCAGAGGGTCCATGTACCCAATAACTAGGTCCCCTTTGAAGGGGATACCTAGGGGTATATAGGGTTTAGGGTTTAGGGTCCATGTACCCAATAATTGGGTACTTGGGATTTGGGCAATAGGAATTCTAGCACAGGTTTTGGGTAAGTATATGATTATTGGGTATTTGGACGCTTAGGGTCTAAGCAACTCAAGGGCGACCCATCGTGGAATCGGTGGACCTGTGGGCCAGAGGTTTCGTCCCCACATGGCATTGAGATTCTTAACGTAGGGAACCCTCACAAGACGCGTAGTGCGTGAGATTCCGTCAACTCAGCAACGGCACGAGAGCTCTGAAGGGTCTGGGGCCAAGGATTGGGGGTCTAGTGTTCGAGTGTAGGGTTTACGAACCTCTGCGAACAGAGCTAGCGTGTTGAAAGTGGCATTCCTGCGGACCTTGGACGAAGCAGGAGGCCTACTTTCCCAAAGGCTCCATGTAGCTGTATGGTATATACTTGGGCCCTGAATAGTAGTTATATAGGAACCCCTTCGGCCCTAAGTATATACTATATAGCTACATGGAGGCTTTGGGCTTCCTTGGTGATCGAACAGCGGATCCTGAACACTAAGCCGAAAGTTGCCCTACGAGTCCAAGTACCCAATATGTAGGTACTTGGGATTTGGGTAATAACATTTGTAGTACAGGTTTTGGGGAGTATATGATTATTACGTAGTTGGAGCCCTATAGAGGGTTCTACCATCCCCGACTCACATCTCACCCCCCCATAAACGGACAGCACTCTTTGCAACGCTCTTTGTGGGCCTCCATGCGGGGGTTCCCCAATTATTAAGGGTACCTTTTTGGGGTCCTGATAACAAGGATTGAAAGAATTTTGGGGTCTATATTGGGGTCCCTCTACTTTGGTATACTACCTGCGGGCATGCAACCACCCAAAGCCTGTACCCTAAACCCTACTTGGAGGCCCATGGGACTTAGTATCTACTTATAACTGGGCTTATAACCCTACTTATAATCCCCCTAAATGGCCTTATAGGGGTTCCTCCAATTATAACCCCAGTTATAAGCAGTTTACTAAGTCCCATGGGCCTCCAAGTGAATCCTAAACATCTTCTTGGCCCAGGTGCCATAGCGAGTCCGCAAAGTACGATCAAACTGTTTACGGTGCTGCTGATCAGCCTTAGCTCTATACTTAGGGCCCAAAAGGTTTAGGGCTTAGGGTTTAGGGTCCGGGGCACACTGACAGTTTGGGGATTCAGGCTCTTCGGCCTCAAACCCTACATAAAACCCAATAAAACCCTAAACCCTGAATTTGGGGTGTATTTAGGGCTTCGAACGTTTGAATATGGGGCCCCAGGATTAAGACTTGGTCCAAGAAATTTGGCCTCCAACCACGCCTGGCAGAATGATCTGTAAATGCCAATCATTTTTGTATCTTGTCAAAACCCTAAACCCTCAGGGTTTAGGGGTTTCGGTATTAGGCTTCCCCAATCCAGGGGTCAATCTGGAGGGACCCATCCCCAACAGTAATCCGCAACTTGAGTGGGCTGCGCACAAGGAACTTAAACTAAGTTACCTTATTCTGGGTATTTCTGGTATATCGCAAATGCTAGCATTTCCTTATGATAAGTCATGGGTGCAGATGCGCAGGCACACAGGGGTACTTTGGCAGTCTCTCATAGGCACGACGGAAAAACATGGAATCTAGTGGTAATTACAAGGATCATAGGCTGTTGCCAAATAATAGCTTGTGTTTTCCCGGCTCGGCATTTAAAGGGAAGGTTGGAAATCAGATATCAATTTGGGGAGGGTGCCCCAGAACAGACTGCCGTTTAGGAGGAGACCAGAATTTGGGAGGTGGGCCCAGATTACGATTTCCACTGATGGCACAAGATTCTCAATTCCCGCATACATATCAAGGTACGGAAAGGATGCTGGCCGCCACACAAGAACTATATTTGTAACAGTCCTCAGCGGAACTCGAGATCCAGCAAAATCCACGCTCTGCTGTTTCTGTAGGAGGAGCGACTTGTTTGACCTGGTATTCTTCCTTTGGCATCAAAATCAAGTGATGAGACTTGGCAAACAACATGGGTCAAACAAAAATGGCTGGCATCCGTACACCTAAGGCGTAAAGAAACCAAATTTGCAGCATACCTTTCTCGGATGGCATCCGAGAAGGCGCTTACGTGTAGGATGAAGGGTCTAGGGTTGGGGGATGTACAGTTTAGGGGTGTAGGATTCGGAGGCCTTCGGCTTACAGGGCTCTGAGACTTACAAAGCAAGCCAACAAAAAGGGCTGCGCTTTTTTGGGGGATGATCGGGTAAGCTACGTTTACTTTCAAAGACCCAAATCATTCAATCAGGCAGCAGCTAGGTCTGGGTTCCGATGCTACTCCACTAAGATCGCACATGACTCCCAATAACCAGGTGCTTGTATGTCTAAGTCGCGACATTGTCCTCATAAAACGCCCTACAGACACCCTCCATAAGTGATGTATATATTCATACACTTTCTGCGAGGGAGTGCTTGGTTGTTGCTGTGTGTGTTAGACACAAGGAGGAAGGGTGCCATTCTCAGTGCGTCGAGTTTTTAATCGAAAGGAAAAATTGGGATCACGAGGCCCCAAAAGATGGGAACCAATGCACAACCCCTAAACTCTAAACCCTGACCCCAAACCATAATCCTTAGGCCCTGAGCACATCCCCTGAGGGTCCACGTACCTAATAGTCACGTACTTACCCAAAACCTGTACTATAATTACTATCACCCTACACCCAAGTACCTAATTATTGGGTACATGGACCCTAAACCCTATATACCCCTAGATATCCCCTTAAAAGGGAACTAATTATTGGGTACTTGGACCCTCTGGGATCTGGGGCTTTCAGGCTTTGCCGTCCCCGGCCTGAGGGCCACGGCGCTTGATTTAACATTCATTCTACAAGTGTTGGAGGAGTTCGGGCGGCTAAGGTTGTAGGGTTAAAACACGGCTTTCGAATATTCACCCTAAAGCCTAAACCCTAAACCCAAGGTATTTTAGAGGGTCCAGGACCCAAATGTTGGGGTTGTAGGCCGTCCCAAAAGCCAATCAGGTTGGAGTATTTGGACCCTAAAGCCCAATTCTTTAAGTCCTTGGACCCTTATAGGGTATAGTCTCCCTTAAGTAGAGGGAATATGGCTTTGGGTATATTATAATAAGATCCCCATAAACCGATATTCTATCTACTTAAAAGGGATTATAGAGCTCCCTGGCGTACAAGCAGCATGCTGGAGGACTCGACGTAGACCCAGTCATTCGACACCTGTAAACACAATGTTCCAAATCAATGCTCAGCTTTAATGTGTTGAGATTTTGGGGTCTGGAGTTAAGGGGTAGAGCATACCTAAAATAACCCCGCACCCGTAATGATGTCCAAATGCACCAGGATGGGCTTGAGCACATTCCAGACCAAGGCATTGCAGCGAACTACCAGGAAGAGGCAGGGAGGGAGAGGAGGGCCTCAACCGCACCAATCTGCATGACTATGGATTTTAGGTATCCAGTCATAGTCCCGAAGCCAAACGCCTTGCACGCAACGAAGCAGACGCTTCCGTCCGCCCACAGGCCTGATAGACTCTACTAGAATCCTCCGACTACCATCAACAATTCAATGAAAAAACTACTACCCCTGACTATGAATATCTTTGATACTCCCGAAACCTCCAGTTACCTAAATAATGGGCTCTGGGTTCTATATACCGTATAGTTACATAGCTCAGTAGCCCACTATTTAGGTCCCTAGGAGCCCTAGGGACTGATAAGTCATTAAACCCCAAAATTCTTCACTCCGACGTGCCCGTTCCGGGGGTTGGTAAGTATGCAAACTGTGGGTTTAGGGTTTATAGGGCTTAGGGTTTGGGGTTTAGGGTTTGGGGTTTTGAATTCTGGGTTTAGGGTTGTAACTCTGCTTGCTAATACGTCACAGACCCTGAGAAACCCTCAACACTACACCCCTAAAGCCTCAATCCTAGACTGGCCTTTGGTGAGCTGGGAACGAAGGAATGGATCCTCATAGTGGTCCCTTTATAACACATTATAGTAGTTTCCATGTTCTTTTCATTCCTTCATTCCCAGCTAACCAAAGGCCAGTAAACCCCTTGGCGGCCTGAAAGGCCGGGCCCGCTGTTCGAGCACTTTTGGCGTTCCACTGGGCAACGTAGTTGTCCCAGGCCTCTTTGTACGCTAAGACCTTGCGGAGAAACACGGCTTACCGCTAGTTAATAGAAGATGAGGGACTATAATCCCTGCATGATAGCCATACAATACATCGCAGTATTCACTGCTAACTGTTGCTAGCGATCATGGATTTCACTGCCTTTAGGGTTTGGGGCTTAGGGTACCTGTATACTGAAATCCAGCAGTACCTATCTAGCAATCCCTTTGAGCCACTGGGATATACCAATATTGGTACCTGGACTCTTCGGGACCCAAAACAAAAGATAGTAGAGACCATATAAGTGCCTGGACCCTCCAACTACCTTCTATTCAGGCCTAAATACCACTATTTGGGCCCCTACAGCCCTAACGAAGGGTACTAACAGATTCTTGGCACCAAGAGCCCTGTATCATCTCAGCTTTCATGTCACTTGTTCCATGTGATTCTGGGCTGTTGTGGTATTATCCTCATATATATATATATGTATATATACCACACACACAGATATCTCTATATATATATATATACCGCAAGTACCGGTGCTGGGAGGGTCCTGCTACCCATGCATCCCTGCAGTTCCTGTAGCGGCTCATTCCTCAGGGACTTGGAGACATTTCGCGCTTCAGGGTTAAGGGTGCAGGCTTTGAAGTGTAAAGTTTAGGGTCAGCATGGGATACCTTCTTGGAAGGAAACCCTTGTAAACCCCTACTGCTTAAACCGTACCCTAGGTCGAGATTAGTCGCTTAGTATATGCCACCTGCCAAATCATCTCCCGTTCCGGATTTTCCAATTCGGTTGTCATGAATGCCAATCCCTCAACTAAACCCTAAACGTCCATTTCCAAATGATTAACGTTCCCGATGTGGTACATTTATATGAGTTCTAGTCTAAACTCCTAGCATCCCCCTTAATAACCCCTATAATAGTCCCCTACATAAACCCTAAACCCTTAACCCTAAGCCCCATACAATCCCTTATAGAACCACCTTCTAGGCCTTTAAGGACTTTTGACTAAAGCTCAGATGAGAAGGGGCAAGATGTATTGTTGGAAGGTAGCGGGATGTAAGGGAAGGGGATCAATACTAAGGTTCAGGTGGGGTTTTCCCAAAATTCGGGATATCTTTTTGGGGGTCCCCATAGTAAGGATCAAAATATTTTGGGGTCTGTATTGGGGTCCCCTCATGTTGGCAAACTACCAGGTTCCCGTTGGTCATGAACCCGCCTCCGCCGCGGGCGAGTCCTTGTGCACACCCGCTTCGAAGGAGTAAAACATGCCTGCCAGGATTTGGGCTGATTGAGGGTTGACAGTGTAGTTCCTTTTGCTGGGCACCTTTCATAGGACTGATTGGGCCCATTTGGGCTCGCTTGGGCCAGGCGGCCTTATGCCCCCGTGTGTTACACACCTGTTAGTGGGCCTTTGAGTGCTCAACTGAGTAGAGAAATTAACAGAAACCAAAACTGATCTCATCAGAATACTGGAGCACAGTTCCTGCATGAAAGCAGTTGTCAACCAGAATGGGCTCTTAGATCCGATGGCGCCTTATTGGGACCCGCGTACAAACAGATTAGGATCCCTAAGCCCTGAACCATAAACCACACATCCCAGAATGCTGTCCTCTGATGACATCGTTTTCGAGCCAGATGTATCGAGTACCGCGTGTCGCATAAACTGAAGTATCCACCTGAGGTCTCATGGGCTTAGGGTTTAGGGTTTCCTGAGACGCCAAGACAACATAAGGAGCAATGTCTTGTGGCCTTAAAGGGTTTGGGGATATTCTATTAGAACTATAAAGCACTTACGTCGGGAATAATAGTGGCGGCTTCTACGTTTGGTTCTAATGTTCACTTCGCACTAATGAGTGATCCCCGATTGATCTATCTCCATCCGGGCGCCCCCTGAATAATAATGGCGAAAATCATGGTTACGAATTCGTATTATCTTAATATTAGTATGAGTCTGAGTATGGAAAGGAGTAATTATGCGTATGAATATGGGTGGTTGTCAATTGTTGGTCCCTTTTTGGATCCCCATTCTAAGGCACCTAATATTTAGGGTCCCCAAAAAGGGAACAATAATTTTGACAACCACCCATATAAGTAGGGTTATTGTTATTAAGATTCGGAGTAGGAGTAGGAATAGAAACGGAACTTCTGCAGTGAGTAAACTATACATTCCGTCGCTGAAGCTTTCTGGGTAACAGTTCCAGCAGTAAGCAAGCTCTAGAACTAATCTCCTGAAACCTATAGGTTTCCCAACTTCTCCAGACAAATGTTTGAGGTAAGCAGCTCCGAACATCTATCGCTGGAAAGAAATTTGGGATTTTTATACATGTGGGGGTTGTTATAATGGTGTTCCGGTCGCGGGATTCTATACATGTAGGGGTATTTCTTAATATGCAGTGAACATTATGCTTCAAACATCAAGACCCCAAGTATGATCTATGAAGGCTCTCCGCAAACCCTTAACCCTACACCTGGTTTGGCTAAGCCCTTATAAGGGTCCAAGTACATGATAATCATATACTAACCCGAAACCAATACTCTAGTATTGGTTTCGGGAAGGTATAATTACTTGTACCCAAATCCCAAGTGCCAAATTATTGAGTGCATGGACCCTCAACCCTAAACCCTATATACCCCTATATACCCGTAGATATCCCCTTAAAAGGGACCTAATTATTGGGTACATGGACCCTCTGGGAAAGCGACAATGAGGACACTGTGGCTCTTCCGCCCCGAGGGTCGGACTACTCTATCATCGGTTAAACGTTTACGGCTTGGGGCACGGGGATTGAAATGTAGAGATATGTAGATAAAATTGGCATATGAAGGGGTATGTTGGGCGAATAGAGAGTTACATGAGCAAGAAACTGGAACATGAAACGGAAACTGAGTTTATATGGTAGTTTCCAGAAATAGGGGGCCCCCAAAAAGGTACGCCTAATTTTGGGAAGCCCCCATATCGGGTTGAGAATAACTACCAAGATTCCTTCTATGCTTTGAGCTTTAGGTCCCTCTTAGCTAGACTTCAAGATGATGTTGAAGTTTGTTTTCAGGCTTCCACGCTCCTTGCCGTGTCAGATGCCCTACACCCCAAAAGAGATTTAGGGGACTGGTATGATGATTCAGTTACCTGGACCATAAAGGGACCACATATGCCTTAGGGTTTAGGGAGTAGCTTGTTTGGGTGGGTCAGTGCGGATCCTCAGCATGAGTTAACGAAGAAATTCACTACCACTACCCTATAAGACTCATGTTCAGAGGCTCCCCTATACTCTAGCAGACCACAATGGGTATTCAATGTCAGTGGGTGGGGGGTTTTTAATGTTTGGGATTAAAAAAACCCAGATCTTATTAGCAGCGTCTTGCAGGGTGAGGAAGAGCTTCGCACGCAAGCTTACACCCCAATACTACCCGCACCAGACACACGAAAGCCTCAGCCACCCTCTTCACTGACCTACTTACTAACTGCCCCAAGCACCGACCCTCAAAGTAGGATTTGGGGCGTAGAGCTTGGGGCCTACTGTTGCTACGGATACGCACTCGCAACGCAACACACACTTCCTTGCACTTCCTAGTTGAGAGAAAACTTTCAGAAACATTCCTAAGCCTTAGACTCAAAATACATTTAAATTGGGAATCTTGTCCCTCCCATGCCAGCACCCTTGCCACTAGCTTCAAAGAACAGTGAGGGACAGTGAAGGGCTTCCGCTTGTGCTTTGGTCTGTACTTATATCGGATCGTTTCACTCACCTGAGGTTGCAACAAACAGGGGGCCACAACACAAACCCAAAAATACTGAAATTGAATCCTTATAGTTGGGACTGCCCCAGTTCAACGGCACCCCTTGTTTTTGGAAAGCCAATGCGCTATATGGACCTCCCATGTACAAAACCGCTCCACACGAAACCCGAATCCCTATAAACCACTGTATAGTCCCTGTTTCCACCTCTAGGTTCTTTTCCATTTGATTCAACCCTACGCCCTGATTTTAGCGTCTATCCAAGCGTCTCAAATAACGACTTGGGGGACAAACTGCTCAGGCCCCCTTTAAAGAGCTTCTGTGGGGGTATGTAGGGATGCCCTAGGGTTCATATGGTTTTGGGCTTAGGGTTCCGTCGCGCCGAAGTCCATACACAGGGCCTACAAGCGTGCTGCTCGAAGGCCTCAAGGTTTTCAGGGTTAGGTACCTTAAAGCCATTCGGATTACAGAATTTCGGGCCCAAGACCCCAGAATTTGGGTACTTGGACCCTTACGGTTCTAGTCCTGGCTTCGACAATGCATAACTGCTACCAGAAAGGGCTTACAAGCTCCAACCCGAAAAAAATGGTAGGCAGCAAGTCCTCCCTAAAGTGACTTGTACCCCTAGAACATGTACAGGTAACAAAAGATTGGGACAGGCATTGCTGGCTTGAAATACATTGGTTACTTCAGATAGATCATGACTTCTTCGTCCTCGACTTCTCAGTTATTGAAGCTTGGAAGCTAGGGGCTTAGAATTTATGCTTCACTTCCGTGCTCAGAGGTTTGAGTAACACTCTGTCCTGACATGAAAAACTACGAACATGTTTTTCTTTCACCAGCCTTTTGAACGCGTAAGTTTTATACCTTATGAAGTCAAGCCGAATGTTGATGAACCATATTCTGCACTACCTGAGGCACGCCTAGCCTGGGAAGTCGTAGTTCCTATAAATAGGAGCACTCAATATAGACGGCGAAATACTACTATTCCTGAATCATTTTAGGGACCCTCCAACAAGTACCTCGAATTTTCGGAAACTCCTGTGGCTGGCCCAAGTGGTGTAAGCTTTACCCTAAGCCGTGTGGAGCAGAGCCGCGTAAAGTTTCGAGAGAACCGGCCAGTCAATGGCTTTCACTGGGAATCGGCCCTGAAACTGTCTGGAGAACAGTCCTCAGGTTTAGGGTTTAGGGTTTAGGGTTTAGGGGTTGAGGTTGTAAGGTCTGGGGTTTAGGGGTGGGTCTGGTGGAGGTTACCTAGAATTACATAATCATCTGACCAAAACAGAGTGTACCAAATATTCGGATGATATCAAGTTACTCTACAGGTACTGCAAACAAGGAATAAGGTAACACCCTCCAAGAGCCACTGCGAAAAGAGAGTTGCTGTCAAAAGCCACGTCTTCTTTTCAACATTTTCTATTGGGCCTGCCACGACAGCTTGGCTACTACGCTGACCCTACTATAACTGTCATACATGGGATGCTTCTAAAAATAAGAAGATTTCTGCACTTGCAAAATCCAGGGACTGTTGCAGGGTGGCGTCATTCCGTTAGCTTTAGTTCTCCAACTCGAACCTTCGCGGTTTAGGATTTAGGGTCTAGAGTTTAGGGGACTTAAGCTCTAACGACAAGCTTAAGGGCGGCTGCCTGGAATAGGCAAATGTATGCAGGGCCATGAAGCCTCAAAGGTAGGATATAAGTGCAGCATTTATAGCGTAACCTCCAACTAAACCCTATAAACCCTTAACCGTGAACCCATCCAAGCCAACCCTAAACCGAGAATGGAGACATGGCGTACAAGCGCTACACAGAAAACTGCTACCCATTGACAGAAGCGATAAACGACACTGTGTGCTCCAAGGCGTACGCGGTACCTGCAACAGCGGTGCCTACAGCAAACTCCTGGGTTGTAAGTAATACCCACTAAACTGCGGGTCAACGCAGCTACTTGACCTTGCTAATGCGGTGCCCTTACACCTCACGGGAGAAGTGTGTGACGTAGGGCCCTGGCAATAATCCGACGGAGCAAGCCCCACAAGAAAGTCATGTTGGAGGATCTGGGTAGCCCGAACTGTAAGGGACCAAGCGCCTGAATTTTGTAGCTTTATCTAAGACATGTTCCTCCACCAGGGGTCAGCGGACTTGAATACCCAACATGTGAGTATTTGGGGTGGTACTTAGCACACTGCAGCAGTGTGAGTGCCCTGTACTTTGAAAATTAAGCTGTTCTCTTAAACTGCATACAGCCATGCACCCGAACACCCAAAACCCTAATCAAGAAAAGCTTCGGAAGTCTTTGAACCAACACCACTGCCTGGAGAATGGAGTTTTGTCTTAGGCTTCCTCAAATGAATAGGGATCCTATGAGGACATCAGAAGCGTAGGGGTATATGCAGGTCATAAGGCGATTATTAGGAAGAGGTTCTAGGCAGGATATGTAAGGATGATGTAGGGACAACTTTGCGAGAACCCTGCATCCATGAGGTCCACAACCAAATTGCAAGCCCTGACCCGCCAGCAAATTTGCATAAGGG